CAAGAAGGGAGACAAGATTCGATAAATGGTCCCATTTCGTTCTGCCTGAAAATATTCTTTCTTCTAAGATTTATACTGAAATAATCTAAAACTTCCAACACCTCCCTCAACGTCACGAACAACCATATACCAATAATAACTACCACACAGCTGTTAGAATGAAAGCAGGGTTAGTAGTTGAAATAAAATATTAGGGCGTCAAAATATTACTAATGCCCGTATGTTCCTACGGAAAGCAAGTAAGGACAAGTTTCCCATAACTTTAAACAGCAACGAGGTCAAGGCATTGAAGCGCCCAAAATTGGGACTGACCAGCTGTCCTTTGAGAACCGAAGTCCACGTTTGTCCATCACACCACGACGGGCAAAGGTCAACTGTACAAGTGGCTGGTAGGTAATGGCGAATTGATCATTAAGAGCGATTAAGTGGCATGTCCTCTAGCGTTTCTCATAATTTCGAGCTGAATCATGCAACCCCAGAGCAGCAGAGTGCAAGATCCCAAAACACTCAGTATCGCGGTCTGTCTGCGCATGTCTTTCATAGTAGCAGTATGGAGTTGTAAACGGGCCGCAGTCGGGAATGACCTGTACTCGCCCCAAATACCTTATACCGATAAGCTCTATTTGATGCTACAATTAGTCTGCTACTTCGTCGAATGCTCGCTTACGGATAAATTCAATTCAATTCAATTCAGCCGGCTAAGCTTGGTTGTACTGCGAAGGCATCGATGGCCAAACCTTTGAATCTGTTTAGCTACTTGGTACTTGGGGGAACAAGATTCACAGTTGCCTTTTAGACGTGGCCCTTCAGCTACATTGAAATTCGCTTCTGACATCATAAACAATGCAAGTTTGTAACCCTTGTCGGCACCTTGAAAATAGTTGCGTTGATTTCTTGTAGCAACTAACCTAACTTTGCTTCGTTGTTGTTATTTCTTGAAGAGTAGCATTTGTCAGGCTTTGTTTTTTAAACCGTAACAAGGAGGACGCGGAAATTTGCATTTTTGCGCTCTTTTTGAGGGAATTAGGGAGTACATTTAGTGCGACCTGCCTAAGGCACTACCAAATTTCGACGTTTTAGTCGCATAAAGCTTGCATTATTGGACATATCTACGTGCAAAAGTATGTATTAGTACCTGAGTCACAATGATTGCGTCACGATTACACTAACTGTAGGGAATAGAATGGTCTGCAGATCAAAACTGGTTAAACTAGTGCAAAATTCTCTGTTAAATACACGCATCTGCGTTACATACTGCCACTCCTGACTGGTTCGGCGTTTTCTGATGTACATGTCATTTCAGCCAAAATGTATGTGAGACGACCAATCACGGGGAAAGATCTCCAGTGGCCAAACTTGTTTCCGGCATTCTTTTTATCAACATATTTCACGTGCAAGACTCGCTTTCAGCTATAAGAAAGACACCAATTCGAAGGCATCGGATCAAGTGCATGAACAGTCTTACGGTCCCTAGATAAAAAGGACAATCCACCTGAGATGCTAACAGTTAGGATTAGTACAAATCACCGCGACGTTAGGCTAAAACCAACCGAAAACTCACAGAAATATGAGAAACTCGACTATAAACCAAGTGCATGTATTGTACTGAGTGCCGCATATATGTGTGTTCCATAGTATCAATTTAAAAAAAGCAGCGGCCAAGTTCTGTTTCACATCTCACAACAGCATGACCTGAGAGCACGCAATGCAGTGGCTATAGTTTCACTCGTGCTAGGTCATTTCAAGCTTACTCTGTTAATCTTGTAAACTCAGTGAGATTTCTGGGGGATATTTTCTCCTATTTTGCCGTAAACAAAACTGACCAAAATTGTTCTCACAACTTCCAGATTGACCGTAAATGCACATAAATGTATGCATAAAAGTATCCACGTGCAAATGCAAATACAAGTACATATGCATACAAATATAGTCGCGTATGGATGTGTGTACGCATTTGCGTACGCCCATGCATACGATTGCATACACTGAAACATATGTCCGCGCACTGATCAGCACTGAATCATAGCATGCATGTCTGAACCCATCAAACGCGCATTCGCCAGAGAGTGATTTATCCGTCAAGCAATGGAGGTGTGGTAAAATCACGGAACCCTCTACCGTCACCTCTCCATTTATCTGCAATTTATACAACTGAGTTGCTGTTTAAGAGGTAGTGCTAAAGTATCTGGAATACTGGATGGAAAGGAGGTCTCCTCGGACTACTCGCCAGGGTATTTCAAAGGCTTCAGTTAATAATGCTCGCTTGCGCCACCGGTGGTGTGAATCATGGATGTCCTGAATAACTAATCCTCACAAACGAAATAATATTCTCCTTGAATTACTTCTGTCGATCATTTATGGCACACCCACTGCTGACACGTTTTCCTCTCAGTCGAGTTCAACTCAGTGCGCAGGATAGGAAAAAGAGTGCAGGATCAGATAGTGAACGTATTAACTGAAAATACCTGAGGGCAGACAACATTCTTTCCAGAACAAAATGTACAAACTCTCTTTAGGGGAGTATCAAGTAACCAACCAAACGTTGTCCCCCTCCCAGAGAGTCAGTATTATCTAAGGCACGCTGTCTCCGAACGGGCTACTCGCAGACGGACAAGTGTTTCTAGGTGTCGTGAATCTTACTAATTTAGGGTCCAGATGATTTAATCAAGGAGTGCGATATTTGGTATTTGGCAAATCCACACAGTCTACCAAACAACATAAAAAAAATGCAAAATGTGACCCATTCGACAACCAAAGGTCTGTGGAAATCCAACGATAAGGGCGAAAAGCACCCTTCAATTAAGCTGGTTGAAAAGTATTTAAGTACACTTGGACAGGCCATCGAAATGAATTGACTATGCTCCCTCTCTAGGTTATCACTACATTTTGATCAGGGTTAAAAGTGCAGTGTGATACCGTAGTCCTCAAAGTGATAAGAAAGTCCTGAATGAACTATATCGTACACATTCCATAATAAGTAAACAGCTGGCCAACTTTGTGATTATTCATCTGAAAACACAAGCGCTTCCAGTAATTTCATCACCAGAATTTTGGCTAACTGTGGTTAACATGCCAATGCTGAAAGTGAGTAAATAAGCTCACCTCCCATGCAAGTGTTTAGCATCTTAAGAACAAGGTACCTTGAGTGGCCAAACATAGGATATTACCTGTCTGATCATATGCGTGTTTCTTGCAACAACAAGTAAACCTTGAAACAGGTATGCAAGAGGCCTGGCAACCTCTAGACTATATGGTCATCTGGGAATCTAAAGATAATGGAAAGTGCGGAGTTTGCTATTGAAGACAGAAGAACGCATAAGTTGAACCTGAATTTCGCTTGTCATTCGCCACCCTGTCATCCAAACGATTTCTGGTTATGGCTGTTGTCAGCTATAGGTCTATCGCGAGTCGCTTTCACCATTCGGCCCATTCGAAACAAGGAACAGTAAGTCCGTAAGCCTAGGCTAAACTGGCTAAATGGAGGCAATTCTTTACAAGCTGGACTGAACCAGTATGGACTTTCAGTTGCCCCTGGATAGTTCATCACTATAATGCGTATAATGTCACGACTGTCCGTTTATGTAATGGTTCTGTGTGAGACGGGAACGCCCAAGCCAGGATTCCAAACGTGTGGCTTCAGTTTCGAAACATGCCCGATGCTAATTTTTCCATCCTATCTTATCCTATCCTTATGTAAGGATACTTGACGAGGTGGCGTTCTTCCTGTGAGACAGGTTTAAACAAATGAGAAACCATTCCATTACGTACGTAATGGTATTGTTATGATATTGTTATTAGGAGAAAAAATGTACACTAATTTGAATTTCTTACAATTTGGATCGTGTTTGATCTCTGAATATTGTCATACTTTAGGAGTTTATACCAAAGTAAAAATTATCCGTTTATTGTGGTGAACATTATCAAGGATGCCATAAGAAATAACCTCACAGGACACATTTTCCTTCTTAATTCATCTGACATCTTAATGACAGGCGTATTTATTTGCTTAATTCTGCCACCTTGTTATCATTTTTGCGCGATTCCACCAAATTTGGTTAGCAGCAACTATCATCAGCCGATTTCGGTAATCTACTCCAAAGATCGGCGTCATCTTTATACAACTGTTCACTGTTCCGTAGAGAATATGCTGGTAGCTTGTGCTCGTACAATACGAGCTATGACCGCATTGTAAGAATATTTTGTTGATAAAACGTATAGCTTCGATTTAGGGCTGAGACATGAAAATACCATTGATTTTGGTCGCGAATAGCACCGCTCGGCAAGTTTTCAGAGGCAGTAGCACGTGACCAAACTTCAAATACGAGGTCAAAACTTTCAAAGCCACTTTGATAAACCAGTGAAATTCTTGAATTTTAACCCGAGGAATCTGAAGAATCGTTTTTATGATACCAGAACCACTTAAGGGTAAACATGAAATTCGCGTCGTCTTGTTCATCATTTTCTAATATCAAAAATCTACATTGTATTATGTTTTTTTAACCCTTGCCCTTGCGTGCAAATTGACATCATCTTACAAAATAAACAATCTCAGCCGACTAGGAAAATGTTGTTGCAAAAATAAACCCGCTCTCAAATTCGATTGAGTTGACGGAATCCCAATGTATTTGTACCTTCGCTGCATCACTGTGTGACGATATTTTCTACTTCTTGTCGAGAGTCCAAAATAGGTTACTCAAGGGAGGCCCACGAGGATGCGTTCGTCTCTGTCATGTGAAACGTGTTGAGTATTCATCAAAATATCGTGCACCAACTGGGCTGAACTTAAACAAAGTATTGTAATACTCCCAAAAAGTGACTGTGTCCTGAGGAACGGAATCCACACCTATTTGGTTATTTGGAACTTTATTGGAAATAGTTATCCACATCAGAAAAGTCTAAAATGGAGTGTTTTATTTTGTAGCCACTTTACAAGCGGTGCGGTACAAATGGACAGTTGTATTCTACACAGATTGTTTCCACGAGGCAGTCTTGTTGGAAAATCACAATTTAAGAGCTGGCAAGTTCTGCAAACTGAATGACATGGGAAGCAGAGCAGAGAGTTCCATCTCCCTCACCATCCCGTTTTTGTTCCGCATGAAGATTGGAGCATTAGGACAAGCAAATTCGGCCATCACTTGTCGACACCGCCCACAAGGACTGATAGTCTCCTCTGTATCCGTCGTAACTGCGTAAGCAATAAATCGCCGATGGCCACTGGATACAGCAGCGGCCACAGCGCTCACTTCTGCACACCATCCGCATGGCAGAACTGCATTTTCCACATTGCATCCAGCATATATTTCCCCTTTTGTCGTTAGAACTGCTGCTCCAACAGGGAAGTGGCTTATTGGGCAATAGGCGTTCGCCTGGGCTTCAAGTGCAGCTGCAACCAGCGCCTGTTGTTTAGATTCAATTAGCTCCATATGTGACATTGAAATTTGGCACGACTTCAAACGTCCATCACATAAATTTGGTCGACCCAATGGATCGATTATCTGGACATCTTTGTAGCATGTATCTGAGACGCTTTGTTTACTCGTCCACTCAGTGTGGGCCGAAAATTGTCCGTAACGTGCACTTGCTGATTGGCTGGCAACCTGTTATTCAGACCAATAGACAAAACGCTATCGATGTGGATCTTACTCTGGTCATTCGCCAATGATAGATGATTATTTTACCCGTCCGGACAAGGTAAAATAAATTCGAATAGTTTAGGCTAACAGAGTCTTGTAGTGTAAATGGTTCCCAGTGTGTCTTTTATGTATACTTTTTGCATTGACTTTTTCCGATCCCCATTGAAATTGACGATATCCTCAGAACTTGCTAGGTAAATTGATCAAATGGAATTTGTTCACCCAATGCCTCCTTAGGAAAAGTGTTTCCTACTGTATTATTGTCATTTATCTCCTCGAATGGTGACGAAACGTTTGCAAATCAATTGCCAAGCTCGGCGAACAGATCAACAGCCACCTGATCAATTACCAATTTATCTCTCTCTTGTATAGAAGCTCTGTTGACTAGGTAGAAAAGACCTGGTTTTCGAAACTATTCACCAAATTCCGGGATAAAATGACAGGTTCGAAGTTTCACTATGCGGATGTTAATTGGAAGATACTGATACACTTAGTTCTTATATATTTAGAAAGCTTGCTATTCCTTTCACCGTCTTGTTCTTCCCCCAAGAAGCACATTATTCTTCTTAATAGACTTTTCTGTGCATAAATTTAACACAGTGTAGAATTATTAATTTTGCCTATTACCAACAGGAGTTGCTTTTTGCTGAATTTCTCTCACGGAAGCAACATTAGAATTCCACTGTTTTTTCTAATCTCTCAGTGTGCACCAAATCGGGCCATTTGGGAAATCTCACCGGTGGTTGATTGCTCGTTGCTTGTTGACCGCCCAAGTCTTATCTCGCAAATTTTTCTCTCATAGAAATCATCTTTTTTTCATAGCGACGTGATTGTTTCAGGCAACCATATGGCCGGTTTTGATCGCCTGGCTTGGCGGACCGATATGACAACACCCTGCATTCCTCCAAAAGTATTGCACATAAACTGTGCTATTCGCAATCCAGGGTGACAAGTACTTTTTAGTCAACTTGATTCTACGAGTGTTTTATTGCGTACATTGATTCGCTCCAGAGTTTTGGTCTCCACGCCTTTAATTCCAAATAAGGGCATATATGGAACACTTTAATACTAATGGTAACGAAAATCTCTAATGAGTGCAGTACAAATCCCTTTCACTATGCATGAATCAATTGGTACCTTTCGCCAAGGAGATTATTTCTCACCAGTGAATAATGTGCTATATTGTGCCATTCATAAGGAAACGCGCTACTACTTGACAACGATACTTTTATGTTTCATTCCCGGCCAACTCACCTGATTCGGATTTAATGTTTAGTTGCAACACATAGAATCGGCAAGTTACAACAACAACAACACACAACAAAGCTTAACTCATTGAGTAGTGAGCAGAGAGAAGAGAATTACCTTCAGGCCAGTATATAAAAAGCTAATTGGTTAAGTATAATTGAAGTGGCACATTGATTCTGGAGGCGCAAATGAACTAAGCTATCACTGTTCTTAAGCCACAGAAATTTTTGTCGAGAAGCTGCGTAATATACGTTAGTCCACTCCAAGCCTGCCTCTCCATTTAGACAAAGGACGCTTCTTTTGAGATAGGTTTTTAAGCAGGGCATTTTAAATGACAATGTATGTGTTATCGTCAGCCATTGTTTCTGATAAATAACATTTGCGAGGGGCGCAACTGCGTGCTTATGTCGCCGTTTTGTTTTAAACTGTAACACAGGAAAGGTCTGTCTACCGACATTAGGTATTCATTTTTCGCTGTATCGAAAGGATTTTCAATAAAATTTTTTTTCAAGAACAGCATTTTCTATCACTATAACGGAAAAAGCACAGAAGCTTTTTTCATCATAATAAATGTATTGTAAATGTGAAAATCACTGAAAATGAAGTGCCCGATTGGTTAAGGTGTGAACTTGTTGACCGGGGAGTCCTTGACTTGAACCCAAACCCGGCTGCACACGAGGTGCGCTTAAACAGGATATCACAGCGATCATGCAGACTTTTAAATAGCTCTACTTTTGTTTCAAGTCAATTGTAGAATATTATAGAATATAGAATTATAGAATATAGAATTTTACTCTTTTGTCAAAAGACAATTTGTTGAATGGGGAACTTTGAAGTCGCGACAAATAGACAGCAACGCTGGTAGTAAATTTCAACTAACTAGGAAGTTGTTGGTCGATTAACAGTCACAACCGCCAGATCAGATGTTCCAAAAATATTTTGGCTCATGAATCTTCCTCTTGAAAGCTTGTACAAACTACTGGGTACTTTTCGTAAACGAAACATTTCATTTAAAGGGAAATTCCTTTCACTATTTCACCTTTCCCTCCCCAGTCTATGAATGAATCTCAAAAATCGCATTCTTATTCCAACCGTGCGAATCTGCACAAAGGCCTGAAGATGCATTGCTTTTTTCCTTTGATATTAATTTAATTAACTAATAAATTAATTAGGCTTCTTGGATAAGACAAATACATTTAACGATAACTCATGTGTAGTTAGATCAAGTAAGAAAGCGCAATTTGAATACAGCGTGGACTAATTTCTGACCATTACAGCAACCCAGGTGGCTTCTGGGTATAATGATTAAAAAATATATCGGGTATATATGGTAACATCAAGGCCTTTAAAGCACCATACACGGTTTGAAAATACGAATTTTGGTTCATTATTCCATTTTGAGGTTTCTATCCGCGCTGACATTACAGTAGATCGTCAAACATGGGCAGTACGTGAAACTAACCTGTGTCAGTCTTAATAAGGGTAAGTTGGCACGTACGAATGATTTCAAACACTGGTTCGAAAGTTGAGCAGAGTTCCTCAGGTTCTTGTCTGATCGAAACCTCACTGCATTTATGTGCACAGTTTATAGTTTATCAGGCTTATCATTGACCAACTAGATGGCTTAATTCGGTGCCCATTACTTACACGTTATACGCTGTTCTATCCAGTCAATTTATTTTCTTACTGCGTTCTGGAGAGGAAATTCAACACTGAGTTGTGCAGAATACTACGAACTGAGTAATGCTCTATAGGCAACAAACAAACATTCAGACACTCATGAAGAAAATGTTTGAAGAGCCATAAACAAGGAGAGTATGACCCAGGGTTTCATAGCAGACAGTTATGTTTGCAAACCCTGTGTTTTCTATGAATAGCGGTGATGCGCATCTGTCCTATTCCCCACGAACCGCTTCAATCGTCGATTTGCCGGAAGTCCCTGGTGAATACGGTAAAACACTCAAAAATGCCATAGGGATATGGGTCAACCAACGCATGCTCCATCTTATTTCGGCTAAAAATCTGAATACTATGATAAAAAAGCACGAATTTGTCTTTGATTTTGGTGATCAGGGACTGCTTTATGCAACTAATTCTGCGGTGCGTTCGCCTTCTCAAACGATTATGAGTGGTAGCGTATTAGCAAGCGTAGATTTACTGTCACAAGCCATGTGATTTTGGGTCACCCGCCCTATCTCCTATTTGCATTCCAGGGTGGAACATGAACGGTTTTGACATTGACGCGTCATTGACGTCGGTGGCCACCACTGACATTCATCTTCTGTATGTTTGTTGTATTTCCCAACTGTTTCTAAGCACCAGTCTAGTCTGCTTTGTTCTTTTCACTTTGGAAGCGCATTCAACGCGAAATCAACCCATAAACCGTTGCTTTTTGGACAAAAAGTTGGGGTCAGAAAGCCGAACAAGAAGCTCTCACTTCAGTCAAAGTCAATACTGATTAAACATTATATATGTATATTATATACACTATGTGACCATTTCTCTTATGCCACAATTTAACTCGTCAGGTCTCCCTCACTATCCATTCTAACGATCGTTGCGGTCTACGTAGATGTATAGTACGCATACTTCACACAACAAGTGGAACAAACAGCTGTAACAAATTTCATTCACTGAAATTTTTGGGACCACATATATGTGGGTAGTTCATACATAAACAGCTTGTACATTGCCGTAGTGTGTAGTTGGAATGCAGCCTAGACTACTTCCACGAATGCACAAGAGGCGAGCGGTTACTCTGGCAACATACATTTAGATTGCATATACAAAATGTCACTGATAAACGCGAACCAGTGTGAAACCCATTTGAATATATCCGCACACAGATGAGGTGGCACATGCTTATCAAAACTAATCAGGTCCAGCATCTTCTGGATAGTTGTGAAAGGAATGGTCACTTACCACACGGCGTGCAAAGAAAACTTTATGCTACAGATGCGTCAGTGTGCATTGAAAATCATACAGATTTTTTTATTTGTACCCATTAGAAGCATGAATACTGCGTTTGTTCACTTCAAGTTTATTAGTAGGTTGGGGGTGTTATCAAATGATAACCTAAATCTTATTATATACCCAAAGTCAGCCTTCGCTGAACAACGCTTCATGGATGTCCTGTTCACATCGATGTGATCCACAGTACGTATCACATGAAGCTCAAATCGGTTCAACATCGAGATCTTACGGTTTGGAGTAGGAAGCTATGTCGTCCAGTTAGAAGAAACAGAGCTGGTACTTGCTATAATCACTCAATTCACAGTGTCGATTATGTGGCCTCTCAAGTAATGAACCCAGGTTGGTGGATTCACGGAATTTGTGAATTATTTTGGCTTACGAGACGGATGACATTACAGAGGGATTCTGGTACTCAAATGGATATCTACGCATTAATATCACAGGTCGGTTCTTGAAAGCGTGGTCATAAAATTTTCAATGAACGCAATTTTCCGTTCACTGCTATCTCCCAGTTTGCTTGAATGCATGAAATCATTTCGAGAAAAGTATCACAGTAACATTAAGAATTAGAAAAATCTAGTGTTAAGCAAATACTTATT